GAACCATTTTGCTAGAATGTATAGGAGTGGAGGCAAACAAGGCCAATCTAAAGCTAGCTCAAGATATAGAGGAGTACGAGGATCATCGTGAAGCGGAAAACGAACGAGACCTCCATTCCGTGGCAAGGTATATCGTGTTGATGAGGAAAAAAGTAACGTTCAGGTTGAGAGGAACTATGATGAAGAGTCAAGAAATCTGATAAGGTTGGAAAAGCAATTAGAAGTTTTTAATTCGGACTCATCGGATAATTATGGCGTGAAAGCAATTGATGATGTGACTAAAGATCCGAAGTTAGCTGAGTAACCAAAGGACGATTCCCTTACAAACTGCTGAAAGATATGGTTATTTAAAGTACTTCAGACAGACAAGAAAAAAAATACGGCCGCGAGTAGGTAATACTTAACATAGGTTTCTAGTGGATAGGTGGATAGTTGAAGCACTGCAAGTTTGATGCCACGACTTGTGGCAGCAATAGTCAATGAAAACTCGGAGCGAGCGTTTCGACAAGATTGATACAGGGTACTACGTGATTTCAACCAATATGACAACCAGAATCACGGCACACATAAATGTGATACTGAATCCAACGGTTGGGTGGTGAGAGACAAGTTCTGGACAGTGGTTGACAATAACAGGAGGCTAATTATGAGTCGCGAACTGTTCCAAGGTCTGGGCTTGAAAATGGTTCAAGAATTACTGTCCGTAATAAAAGGTAAATAAGGTTCCATTAATACTTTGGGGAAGATTACAAGGCACTAAAAAATTAATTTCTAAGAAATTTCCGAGATTATTTACAAAAAATGGGGTAACAAAAGATTTCAAACCTACAATTAAAAAGGGAGGTAAGCCCTGTCTTCTTGCAAAATAATTTATGGATGAAGTCAAAAGACTTGAAAAAACTGCGCACAAAGGTATAATGAAAAAATGCTCCGACCATCAGTTTGTTTCGGCTATCTTACTAGCCGTGAAAAAGGACAATTTGTTCAATTTGGCAATAATTTCGAAACAATTAAAAGTAGTAATTCAAATCATAGATAAAAAAGATCATATTAAAATAGTGAAAAGCTGTATGAAACAGCAGGATGACAAGAAGTTCATTGTTATTTAACAGAAATGCAAAAATGAAGAAATTGAATGACTGGGTTTTAAAGCGTCAAATTGGGGTATCAAACCCTGGAATCGAAATCTGAATCCCTTGCAAAAATACCGTCGCCTGAAACAATAAAACAGCTCAAGTCTTACATTGGATTGGTGCACTATGTGAAAAAATTCATACCAGGTTTAGCGGCATTGTTTTCGGCATTTAGGGATCTATTCAAAATCGGCAAAAAGAAAAGATTTGTTTCAAATTAAAAACCCGAAAAATAATTTCATTTGGTCCAGTAAAAATTTTTGAGACAATGGAAAACGCTCAATTTGTCAGAAATTTGGAAACCAGAATGAAATGTAATGCTTCTAATGAAGACCTGGGGCGGCCGTTGAACAATAAAACAGTAGGTTGGTAAAGTGTGGCTTTTGGGTCACGCTCCGTTATTTTGGCCGAAATGGAGTATAGTAATAATGTGCTCGAATTATTAGGTGTTGTATTGTCTATACAGCGTTTTCGGTTTTATTTATATGGCCAACTGTTCTTTTTGGTCCAAGACCATAAAGCGTTACTCAGTATACTCAAACATAACCCTTCTAACAAAACTTATAGAAATAGATTTACGAGATGATTAGGCCGTTTGATTCCAGGTACGTTTAACATAGAGCAAAATCAAGGAAAATAAATGTCAAGGTAAAAATCGATTACATTTCGCGTATTCTGGCAAAGAAGCAAAATCACCCTCGAAAACTGATGAGGAAATTGTTGTTGCTCGATTTAAATCAGTTAGTAATTTTTTACTTATTTTCAAATTGTTCGATAAGCAATCGAACGGGAATTCGGGGCATATTTGATGTTTGAAAACGAGTATGGGTTTAAGTAACTTCACTAATTACTCAGCTGTGATTGGTCCAATGAGTGCAATGATTTCACAATTCAGAAAGCGCACGAAAAATAGCGTACCGTATTGTGAACGTTCTAAACTTCAACAGTTTGAAATTAGTAATGATATTTTTCAGCACTATCAGAGTAGCAATCATTTGCAAGATCAACTAGAGTCAGGAAATAGCAAATTGAAAAGGGAAAATTTTGGAAGTTACCAAAAATGTGAGGCAATGCGAGGCAATGCGATTTTTTTTTTTGACTATGCAAACTACATCACTGAAAATGAGAAAAGTTGGCCAGCGAAATAGATACATTTATAGAAGTCAGGAAAATTTTCCAAGGAGAAAGAGGATGATTCCAGCGAAGCGGGAGAAAGGTAAAGATGAGTCAACTAAAAGAAATGAAAACCGGAAGGTGTTTCGGAAAAAAATCCGGACAAAACAACCTTCGGGAAGGAAAGAGAGGCTCATAAACCAAAGGAGAAAAAAGAATTAATCGCTGTTGCGCGAGATCAAAAAGCACATAAATCAGAAGAAAGAAATCTTAAGTCGATATGATACGGTTAACAAGGAGGAAAACAAAAGAGGGAGAAAAGCTGATATTATCAGATCCAATGGAAAAAAAAGATTGAGAATACTTCTAACTGAAAAATAGTTGCTGCGCTGACGAACCGAGACGGAAAGCTGAAAGAAAATCTGGACTGCATCATCAAAAAAAGAGGAGCGAATTAGACCAGTATAATCGAGGGGTTGTGAAATGAGGGATAATCAAGGTTGATGTTAAAAATGCAATCCCAAATCGATTGCAACCAACCAGCAGTAGTGGACGTTTTCTACTCAGTTCACCCGGGTGAAGCAGGGGCTACGGACGTAGCAGAGAAAATTTGCTGGCCGAGAAAGAACATGGACATCGTACTCAAGTCATCAGCGGGCAAAATTTGCACAAAAAATGGTAAAAACCTGAAAACCATCATACCAAAAAATTAAGCAAAACCACTACACATTTTGAAAGAGCCGAACGAAGAGTTCTAATTTGATTTCATGCGACCAATTATTCATGAAAAGCGTTCACAATTTCTATGTGCGATTGATCGGTGTCCTAGGTTTCTTTCATGCAAAATTTTCAAGAATGCAAACGCTAGAAACGTGCTCCGAATCTTCGAGTTTAACATTAGACTACTTGAGTTCCCTGGGGCGATAAGAGTTGATCAGGCGACATGCATCACAGATTTGGTGGTAAAAACTTTTGCTGAAGAAAATATTATAAGACTTTTGATATCGACGATGGATGATCATCGAGCGCCAAGAACAGTAGAACGATTGATTCGTACACTCAGAGAGAGAGAGAGAGAGAGAGAGAGAGAGAGAGTAGGATGTATAAAAGTAGAAAAGAATGAAAAACTTAAATAACTTAAGAACCTACTCCACTTAATACATCAACTGAGAATCACAAAGGAAAGGGTTATAAGCTGTCACCATTTCAAGCACATTTTAGCAGCTATCGGACTACTCCAACATCAACTATAATAACTGAACCTTGGAGTCGTGTGTTCATCCCTACCAGTTTATGTAGGATAATTTTGATCACGCTCCTACTGGACGACAAGGAAGTTAAAACCAGGAACTCAAAAGTGACGTTGTGGTAGAGAGCTGAAAAATAAACGAATGCAAAAATTGGATTCAGAGACGTTATCTCGGACGACATTGCAAATAGTAGTAAAATCGCTAGAGGAGAAATTCAGATTGTACACAGTTAAGGGCAGGATCAGCCGGCTAATTGCAAACGTGGCTAGGAAAACGGGTCGTACGGTCCGAGCGAAGGATGTTGAAAAAATTTTTGATTAGATGCACCAGGATGAACAGATAGAAAGAGTAAGAACCGAAGCACAGCTTCATAAACACTAACTAGTCGAAAATCTTGATGAGACGAAAAAAAATCGTAAAAGTCAGTCAAAAACGAAGCATTAGAAACCTTCCAGACAAGGGAGACCGCAACAAGTCCAGGAGAGTGATTCAGAAAGAGGAAGCGATGATAACAGGGAGGTCGCATTGCCAGATACCAGGCGTCGAGTTGGGATTCCAGGCCCCATGTGAAGCTGAGGACTTGCCAGGACTACCATCAAGTGACATAATAAGTCAACAGGAGCTAAGCCTAACACCAACACAAAAAGCTGCTAGCAATGTGACATCGAAATTGTCAGATTGTGCGTTTGAGTAAAATAGCGAGGAAAACGAGAATAATCGAAGGCGGAGTCCCATATTGCTTTGTGAGTGAAATAAAATGGAGTGATGCGGTGATTCCACAACGAAACGTTCAAGAAGAAGGAAACAAACGAAAGCGGAATCACGGAAGACGAAATCACAGCGGAAAACAAACAACGCGACATTCGCAGCGAAAACGAAAGAGAAGTTTTCGACATATAAGCTTGTCAGGCAAACAGAAGACTGACTTTCAAAGAAAACTTTCTATTTTTCAAAATTTTCATGAAAGCTATTTAAAACTAATATTGCCCAAGAGGCTATGTGATGGTGGTACCGTTATGTGATAGAATAGATCCAATGTATGCTAAAAGTCCTTGTCACAATTGCTGTTGACTGGTGCCTGGCAAAACTATGTGCGATAACACATTGTATATTTGTCGTCACAGTATGTTCTGAGACTGAATTGTTATTGATAGGAAAAGTTGTTTATTGAGTTCAAAGAATTAGTGTGTGATTCTCTTTAGTAAGGTATGACTTCACAGCCGTAATATACGCTTACTTCAGGCTCTAATGGTTAGTTATACAGAGTCCCACCCATTATGTGGCTTGTTTTTTGATATTTGATCAATAAACAAACAATCTAACTAGTTTTTGGCTGAAATTTCAACCAATCAGAATTCGGACAAATTTTGTGACTTATGCGACTGATTTTCTATTTTGGGTCCTATGAATCTTGGGACCTATTGAAATTCACCCACCTTATTAGGAAATGCATGATTTTTGTAACTTGATTTGTAGAGCAAGTGACTGCTCAAATATACTGAAGGGGTCTCACTTCAAAAAGATTGAACCATCATTTATCTTCTCCAAGAAGTTGGAACAAAAGTATCCACACCTCCGTTTTTCCTTCTGTCAAAGTGACCCTATGTGTTTAGTCATTGGGTCTACCGAGTTTACTGTTTGTCACATTATCTTGATTTTATTTGATCGGGAAGATCAGGATGTACAATATCTTTACAATGCGATATCAAGAGCCCGAGTAATGTGCCGTGTTCACGTAATAGTCAATGACAAAAATAGTAGAAATCAATTGGATTATTTATTGCGATTTTTTCGAGATGCAAGAATTGAAGACGAATATGAAAATGTAGCCGAGCTATCGAATTTGATGTGCAAGACAACATATGAAGAGCTTCGTTATTGCCATTGCTTGTCGTCATATCCATCATCTCCAACAGCTATAGAAGTCGAAACAACGCTACAAGGTAAGACCAGGGAAACTAGGGCTCTTTTCCTCCCCCTATATGCATTTCATAAATTCTATATTCATAGTTGAATTTTTGAAAATAATTGAATGGCTGGATGCATTGTTTTACAATTTTTTTACAGTTTGATTGCTCTATCTTTTTCACAGCTTCCTATTTTCAATTTTTTTCAAAACTACCCCCCCCCCCACCCTCCCATAATCTCAATTTCCATTTTTGAAGAACTACTATAATGTTGTCATAGTTTTTAGCTGCAAAACATGTTGGAATAAAGTTTTACTGAACCCTTCCCCCCTCCCCCTCCTTCCGATGGTTTTTTATAAAAAGTGTTTCTGAAAAGTGGGCTTTGAATTTTTATTTTGACTGATATTTATCCATCAATTCATACATTTGAAACACTGCTTCAGTTCAGTGGAAAACAGCTGCAGATACAATCTTGAGAGGATCGAGTGGCAAGAGCACACACGATACAGCAATGGAGATCCTCATTGCAGTAGAACATACCTGCCCTACGAGTGGCATTATAATAGTCACAGTCCATGCTAAAGATAGTGACTATAGTTTAAAGTGTGAAGATAGAGTTGGTGAGACAGCAGAGTGGATAGACAGGACAGACTGTCCCTACAACATGCACATCTACACTGTCTATCGTCAATACCATAACAACAGAAGAGCTGCAACTTATGAAGAGATGGAGGAGGCACAGAGTGTGATGGGGAGTGTAATGTCTAATATGAAGAGTAGAAAGGGTATGACCTCACAGAAGATAAGAGATGAGGTCATTATTCGACTGGAGAGAAGTGGATTAAAGTGGATGTGGATAGGAGTCGGGAGAGGAGATGGAAAGTTTTGGGACAGATGTTATTCGGGTCGTTTTGCTGAAAGAATTGGCTCTAACTACGATATTAATATCTGTCTGGGAGACTAAAAGGCACCAAATAGCTTCAAACCTCTAATTTACTAGTATACTTTTCATCATATTTCACTCATTAAAACTAACCCAGTGCAACAGTATTTCTTTTAGTTTTCGGCTTAACTGTCATGAACAAAATAAACTAAAACAAACTACCATAAAAGTAAATTCAAAACTTGCTCATAAAATGTTTTCTTGTTAATTTGGGTTCCTTTTTATCAAACGCCCTTTTTTCAAATCAGTGAAGCGTGTTCCTCAAAACCCAGGATTTGATTTTATATGTTAGTCTGATTGCTTTCCGGACAAACGGAAAACCAAAGCGACTTGTTTTTTATTTGCGAAGTTTTTGTACATTATGGTGAAGCAATGCGCTACCGCGGACTATCCTTTTGTCTCTACATTTTTGAATAACAACAAGACTGCTCGTATCAGGGTGAAACCCTGAATGTTCCGACTGAATGTTCCGAAATTATTCCGACTGAATGTTCCGACTGAATGTTCCGAAAGCCCTGAATGTTCCGAAATTATTTTTTGCCGTTAAAAAATTGCCGTTAAAAAAGGCTAGTTAAAAAGTCGAAATTTGTCTGAAGAAAAAAAAACTCACCCGAGCCCAAATATTCCGTTACTTTTGTATCGAAAGTCGAAACAAAAATTGTGAGAAAACTTGGTCAACTTTTTCCATTACTTCTGATTCACGCTACAAGAGACATTTAGTTCTGTTATGAACTGTAATTGATTATGGAATGTCATCGAATTTAAAGCTGTGTTGAATCAATCCCAATAGTTCTTTTCGTTCAATATCCACATTCACATGTGAATTTTTGGGGGTTAAATTTTGCCATTTGGTTCAAGTTTGATAATTGACGCGCGCTATTTTTCTGATACCATTATAACACATAAGCCTTCAAAGACGTTTACTGCAAAACGGCACTTAAAAAATTTACAAGAAGATTAAAAAAAAAACATTTGAAATTTAAATACGTCAGAGCAATCATAAATTTTTGGTGCATGATGACAGCTTTTCGGCTTTTTACAAACATATTTTATTTCCTTTTTCCGACTTTGTGACAGAATAATTGTGCTCGAATACTTGTGCAGAATAAAGAAAGTGACAGAATAATTGTGCTCGGCGTTGTATTATTTCATCACTAATGCTTCGACTTGGTACCTAGCCAGTTCTGATCCGTTTTCTTAAAATTAAAGTAAGACTTCGTTAACCACAATTTTGTGGCGTGTGATGGCAGTTTTTGGGCTTTTATATCAGCATGTTCAGAAATTATTTGTGATCATTTTTTGTAATTTTATGAGGTATCTGAAATTTCCGCGCAAGAAAAAAAAACACGCAATACATTTATTGTAAAATAAACGCTTCAGAGACCCAGAAAACGATACAAAGTGGATAGAGGCAAGCTATATGGTCTTATCTATTTTATTCTATGCAAAACCCAGCCTTTGGTACTTGAGATAGCGAGTGGAAGACAATATGAAAATACTCGGTAAATATTGATTTGAATTTTTTTTATTTTAGGAAAAAGGTTGTCGGTTTTTTTTTCGCTGGAACAACTATAAGAGTGGTAGATTTAGAAATTTTGACAGAAACTTTTTAAAATTTGTGAATCTACCACTCTTATAGTTGTTCTAGCGAAAAAAAACCAACATTCTTTTTCTTAATTAGTTTTCTTTTCAACATGTGATATTACTAAGAAATATGTAAATTCAAGTTTTCGTAATCAGGGAAAAAATCACATGTTCCTTGTTTAGGGTGCTCCCCAAAGTGACAGTTTTTAATCAAACATAGTTGTTCATAAATTGTATCGTCCTCATTGATTGCCCGAGAATCATAAATCGCAGATGCTTTTACTTAAAGACGTGATGGATGTTGAGAAACTTCTTTTAATCCAAAGATTCCCAAGAAGGTACGAGCAAGTTATAGGGCATTTTGCAAGAAAGTGAGAGATATATTCAACCTCGGACAGGTACTGAAATTTCAATGGGTCAATTTTTTGACCCCGCTTCTAGAGTACACCCTTATCTGTATACAATTGAAAAGCTTTTTGTTTTACATAGTCTTTTTTAGAAACTGTTAACTTAGCCCTTTTCCATAGCCAGATAGTTTTTTTCCTGCTTCTTCCAGCCCGATGTCAAAATTGAGGACATTTTTTCCTTTCTGGAGGCCCAACGCGCAATGTTGAGACAAAGAATTTGTCTATCTCATTACTTTTCGTAAATATTTTTTATAATTGGCCTCCTTGATGACCCGCGTATCACCAGTTTTCCATCCCGCGTATCACCAGTTTTCAGTTTCAACTTAAAACATTTGGACTCATTTTTCAAACAACCTTTTAGGTTCGAGATTATTGGCGGTCGAACTTTTTGGATTGTTTTATTGAGCCACTCCTTCGCTTGTTCATCACAATAGAGACATGTGCTCATTACACTTTGAATTTTTGCCGTCGAAATTTTGCATTGAATCTTTGGCCAGCAAACACCTACATTACTGAATGCTCCTTTAAGGTACAGAATTTTTGTTTCAGTTTTCTTGTCCTGCCCCGCTTACAGCAACTAACTTATTTCTCGGAACTTTTTTCAATGTGTTTCTCAAAAGGGATCTGTTGCTTACGATGAAGAACTTTTGGTAGGAAAAAAGTTGTCTTTTTGCACTAAAACGGATAACTTGATTAAATTCTTTTTTCTTATCATTGCTTATTTTAATAAATTTTTCATCATTTGCAGTTTCAGTCAATTGTTCATATTACAGGGGGATCGCAAGTACTTTATGGATGATAGATTGCGTTGTTCCTGCAAAGTGTCAATCTTAGTTTTGTCTCCATTTATTTCGAATTTGGTTCCTCGGCAAAAATTATCATATCATACTACAAAAATCCGATTTATGCAGTTACAGTACAATGTATTTACACCATCTGCTCGAGCTAACACTCAATGTTTCACTGGATGTCCAAACCACTGATGTCCTATCAAGATTTCAAGAAGAGGCTCCAAAGCGAGGAGCGGACATCCTTGTCGTATACAACATACAAGTGATATTTCTTCTCTGAGAAAACCATTCACATCTACCAAGGTTTTTGTTTTTCCGTACTAGTTTTCGAGAATGTCAACCTGCAGCAGGTTAAATTCGTTTTTACGCAGTAATTGAATTATATACTTCCAATCCACGAGGTCAAATGCTTGGGTAAAATCAATACTCAATACACACTCTTTCTGTTGCGGCTTATCAATTCTAATTTCCCTATCAGACGTTTCACTATGCATATTTCTGTTTTGTAGTTATGTATTGTTGTCGGATTTTAGAACTTTTTGTAATCCTTTTTAAACCTAGCTGCGAGAAGGTTGGAAAAAGTTCCTTGAACTGTAATAACGAACCTTATAGGTCCGAAGTCAGCTGCTGTTTTGATACTTGTTTTTTAGTATTAGTTTGACAAGCGCTAAATGAAAAGTTTGTAACATCGGTTTTCCAACTAGTGCTCGCTAAACTTTTGAAAATAATTTTCGGGAAAAATAATTTTAGGTTGTGAATAGAATTCAAATGTCAGCCCATCTGGATCTGGACTTGTTTATGTGCTCAGCTTCTCAATTAATTTTTCTAGCTCAAATAAAGTGAGTAGCTATGTTTTCTTTGTCTTCATCGCTTATCGTTTTTGATAGAAATCTCAAAAATTGAAGCGATTGAGGTTTTCCTCATTTCGATATCTGTAAAGATCTTTGTAGTAACAAATCACCCCGTCCAGTATCACATATGAATTATTCATTCGTCAGCTCTCCAGATTTACACTTGAAACCATCTAGTGAGATTTTTTGACTAGCAATGCTGTATCAAAAAAAACAGCTTTGAGTTTGCCTTCGAAAACCTCATCAATGATTTTTTCATGGTTGATAGCTTCTCCTTGAATTCCTGTAATAAAAAAACTCCAGAGTTTTTGATAAGCCTTCTTGTTTTGATTATCTTGTAAACTTATGGTTTCAAGATGTTACTGAGTTGCTTCTTTTTGTTTTTTTCTCTATGCTTTTCTTTTTCAGAAAAAAAAAACATCTCGAAAAATCTCAAAGTTTCTGTTCGATAGATACCATAGAAGTTCGGTTTAAAATCAGGGCTAAATCATGCAATAGTCTGTCATTGTAAGTAGCTTTCAGTGTTTTTAAATCGTAATAAATGCATCTTTGATCCTTCCACCCGATTTCTTCTCACCTGTTCTTCTCTCTTTTCATGTTGTTTATGCATTCAGATCACCGGCTAGGACATTTTCCTTTCTGGTTTAGTTTCTTTAGTGTGAGTAAATCTTCAATTGCTTGGCAGCACGGATTAATCTCCGCAGATTTTCTTTATAAAATTTTGCCCATGAAAAACTAGTAGTCAGTAAAGTAGGAAACAATACCAGTATTCGCTTTTTCAATCAATTTTACGTTTGAAGACCAATTTCCCACAGTAAGAAGTCCTCTACTTCTTTCCGTACTTGGTTAAAAATGACATTTCGGATTAATTCGGTTTTCACCTCATGGAGGCAAACGATATGAAGTTCTGATTTAATCGGTTTCTCAAAAGTTTTTTTTCTAAAAACTGAATAAAAGTGAGGCTTTTGTCATTGCCGGTATATCCGGGTTGTTATATTATTCTTCCTTCAATTCGTTTTCGTATTCAGCTCCGTGCGCCCGGTGATTTTTCTGCTTTATTCGCAATTTAGTGTTCAGAAGAATTTAGTGTTCGAAAGTATACCATTATCGGGTTGTTTTGACTCTCGCGAGTTTTTCTTGAA